AAAAAATGCAGAACAGAATTGGGGATAAAGGGGAAGAAGAAGAAATTTAGGGTTAAGGAAAGAAGAGATGTAGGGTTTTTGATTGCTCAGCAATTCTGTAAAAAACAAGCATAAAAAGAGAAAACAACATTCTCAAAATAAATAAGAAGAAGCTAGGCTAAAAAACAAAGGAATCTTCAACAAACTTCACCATTCTCGCTTGGCATCTAAGAATGCTCTAAAACGGCGTCGTCTGATGGAACACGCAACCGCTCCCAACTCCCACTTCGCAACGACGTCGTTTGGTTTATTAACTCCAACGGTCCCAACGACTGCCTTCAAATGCTGTCGTTTAAATAAGTGACTTGATTGCTTAATTCCGGCTCCAAACGACAGTGTTTTGGTCCCTCGACTTTCCCTTCTTCACTTGGCTTTATAACCATCAATACCTCCTGATCTTCCATTGCCATTCCCTCCTTCAATTCCTCCATTTCACCACTCAATTAAGTTCATGACAGAGACATATCAATGCTTGTTCAATGATCAGTTTGGTCAAACAAACATATGCCAACACATAAGCTTGGTTTCTTTCAGTGTATATAAAAACACATGTCAATTCCCTTCAACTCTATTTTATGTAGTGTGCACAATTTGGTGAAAAATCGGTTAACCGAAACAGAGACAAATTTTAGTTAACAATTTTTTAAACGAAATATTTTGGTCCGGTACGGTTAATGGTTAAGGATTTTTACGGATTCTGATAACGGTTTAATTTGGTTCCAAAGTGTTGGTTAACCGAATTACATGTGTATATATAAGTTTTAATTTTTTATAATTCATTAATCACACTATTAGTCTAGTTTTTCAAAATTTATCATTTTTGTATTGAGGTAATGACTATTTTGTGGTGTGAAACTATGAATTTACAAATTTTATTTATAAATTTTAAGGTTTTTTAAATTAGACTAAAATATTTCGGTTAAGCGACCGATTAACCGAAAAAAATTTGGTTCGGTTAATTTGGAAATAGGAATTTCGATCTGGTTAAAACCGTTAAAGCATTTGCAAATTCAGTTCGGTTATTAACCGAATAAAACCCCTAATTTTAGGTTTTTTAAAAAATACAATTTTGTCTGAAATGCACAAACAGTTGCAGCAATCAGCCAGAACCGTGTGTTTAAACTCAGTTTAAAGAATAACAAATGCCATATACTGTTGTTATATGTATACTATATACAACTGCATGCAACAACAACAAAAATTGGGAACTGTTGAAGACAAAAATGCATACTAGAAAACAATGTCATATACAAATCAAGCATTTGTGGGAGGGAATGTACTAGGAACATGCAAGCAACAAAAATAACCTAACAGATATGAAGGAACTCCAGCTAAAATTTATCAAAATTAAAAAATAAATGAGGAAACAAAAGGATATTTAACCTTTCATATGACAGGCTTCTATGTAGTCATGTTCTGAAATGTAACTGTTTCTCCAGGTTTCCCAGATTAGGAACAGGTCTATTTGCTAATGACCAAGTTCCAGCATACATAGATGAAAATAACCAATATCCAATTGAATAGTGCATGCAAAACAATGGTATCACCTTCAACTATACGTTGCTGACATCATCGGTATCAATGTTTTACTTACTGGCAATGAAAATGTCTAAGCTGCTAACCGTGTCAGACATTTCCAGACTACAGTCAGTAATGATTTCTATAAGCACAAAGAATTAACTCTAATTAACCAAGAGACACCAGAAAAGAATCATTTCTAGACAGAAGGCAAAACTATAAGTATGACCAATTAATTGAAAAACAAAAGACCAAAAGAAAAAAAGTATCAAAATTCAAAAGTCCAGATGAAATCAAAGTACATAAAAACTAGCATACCATAGAATAATGTGAATAACATTGCAGAGACCAATTAGTTTGAATAAAATTTGAAGAAAACTAAATATCCAAAAACTAAGAGATCTCACTATTTGCCCATAACATACCTTGTAACGAGCATGGAGTGTAAGTACTATGTCGTTTAGTAAAGTTGCTGGCCAAGTTGGGTCAGAGAGTTCTGATGCAACGATGGATTCCAATTCATCAAATGGCTCATGTGGGCTTTGCATACATATCAAGGCTTTTATAATTGTGAAGCATTCTAGCATACACTTTGAAAACATTTGATATCTTTATAGCAATAAGCTAAACTCAATCATCTTTAAATTTTCATATTCTTTCTAGATGCTTGCACCCTATATTATCAGTTGGCATGCTTATATATGTATAAAACTGATCACGTAGATTCATCAACATATAGACTTTTCAAATAGCTTATCAAGCAATTCATGCTTACAGATAGGATCATGCTAAAAGACCATATAATCAGGTATTCACATGTTTCCACACTTTTATCACTTAACTTATTAAGTAGAACTTCTACTACATCACAATAATCATGCTCAAGGAATATCTCAAGTTAAACTTCTCAATAAACAATCTTTTACGAAGCTCTATTCGTATACAATCATGTATAACATTATGATCATACTTCTTATGCAATCTAGTGCAACAATATATTCATATTCATATGCAATCTAGTGCAACGATATTTTTTTTTTTGAAAGGAGCCAGGGTGGCATTTTATTCAAAGTAATGCGAGATTGAAGCTGGTGGGATCGCATCCCAGTACATAGCTGTAGTTTGACTAATAACTGAAGTAGCTAAAGCATGTGCTATATAGTTCTCTGATCTAGGGACAAAAACAACTAAACAAGAATGTAAAGAATTAATTAAATTCCAGCAACCATCTATTGCGTAGCCAACATATGATCAATCGGTATGAGCTGAAGTAGTTAGATAGTGTTTGACCGTTAAACAGTTCGTGTGTAGTTCCAAATTTTCCTCACCACGATTCTTAAGCCAAGACAGAGTTTCCTTGCATGCAAACGCTTCCGCCATAAGAGACGAGAAACTACTTGGAAGTGAAGAAACATAGGCAGAGATATATTGTCCGTTTCCATCCAAAAGAACTGCACCTACCGAGGCCGTATTTGTGGCGTGGTGATAACTCACATCCACATAGCACCTGCGAGTGAGCTGCCCCGGCGGAGGAGGCGGTACATGAGGTACGGCAGATGTGGCTGTGACTGCATTGGCGTGAAACGATGCGGCATGGTGTTCGGTTACATGGTGCACGGCGCGCCATGCTTGCATCGTGGTGGTAGCCGTCCTCAGTGTTTTTTTCGGCATTGGTATGTAGGTGTCCCAAACCGCATTGTTCCTTGCTCTCCAAATATGATATAAGATTGCAGCTGCATACACCAGACCATCAGTGACTAAATTATCCAAAATCATATTAAACCAGTCATTAAAAATATTCGTCTGAACAACAGGGATTGGGAGGTTAGCTTGCCCCATACTTCCTTGGCATAGTCACACGTGACCAGCGCATGCATGGCATTTTCATGTATCATTCCACACATAGCACAATTAGGCTCAATATCAACTCTCTTGTTGCGCAGATTCATAGTAGTGGGGAGAATGTCACTCAAGGCTCTCCATAGAAAGGTTTTCCATTTTCGGGGGATTTTGAGTTTCCATAGCACTTGCCACTTATTAAAGGGGGTAATCGTATTATCATATCTGCCAACAATACACTTATATCCACTTTTCACAGAATATAATCCTCTTGAATCATCATGCCAATACCACGTGTCTTCATATTCCGGTGATACATGAATTTTCATTATTCTGGATACATCTTCTGGTACAAAAATATCTGTTAAAATGGAAGTATCCCATGTCCCAGTATCCTGATCAATTAAGCCAAACACTCGTGCATTAGCCAGTTGTGGTGGCATTTCTGTTTGGATCATTGGATCCTGCTCATCCTGCAGCCAGGGATGATCCCATATTCTTGTATCCTGGCTATTCTCTATCCTCCGCCACACACCAGTACAAACCATGCTTTTTGCTGCCATAATACTTCGCCAACAAAAGCTTGGATTATTCCCAAGATATGCCTCTGAGAAAGTATCTTTCGGATAATACCTGGCCTTATAAACACGTGCCACTAGGGATTCTGGCTTTGTCAGTAAACGCCATGCCTGTTTCCCCAACATTGCTAAATTAAATGCTCTGAGTTCTTTAAAACCCAAACCCCCATATTTTTTAGGGATACATAATTTATCCCATGCCTTCCAATGTATCCCCTGATTAGTGCCTGAGTTCCACCAATACCTATTCATGGCTCTCTCAATAGAAGAAACAACATTCATAGGGAGTAAAAAAACACTCATTGAGAAGGTAGGCATAGATTGAGCCACACTTTTCAATAATATTTCCTTACCAGCCTGAGAGAGTAGCTTCTTATTCCATGAACCAATTCTCTGTTTAATCTTTTCCTCAATATACGAGAAAGCTGCCTTTCGATTTCTACCAATAAAAGACGGGAGTCCAAGATATTTACCAAAATTTGGGGCTTGCTACACCCCTAGCGCCTGCGCCACCATGTCCCTATTCTCCTCAGTAGTATTTTTGCTATAGCAAATACTAGATTTATGATAGTTTACTGCTTGTCCTGACAACTTCTCATATGCAGTTAGGCATTCTTTTATCACCCCTGCTTCCTGCAAATTGGCCTTAAAAAACAACAAACTGTCATCCGCGAAAAATAGATGGGATATTGGGGGAGCTCCCCGAGCAACTCTACATCCATGAATTTTATTATTCAATTGTGCCTGCTGCAACATCATAGAGAGTCCCTCTGCATAGATAATAAATAGATACGGAGACAATGGGTCTCCCTGTCTCAAACCACGAGTAGGTGTAACTGAATCAGTACGAGAGCCATTTATCAAAAACTTGTACGATACAGTAGACACACATAACATAATTAAATCCACCCATTTTTTTTTATCAAAACCCATGGCTACGAGCATCCCATGTAAGAAAGACCACTCCATATGGTCATATGCCTTTGCCATATCCAATTTTAGGGCAGCCCATCCAACAGCACCACACTATTTCCTGTGCAAATAATGGCCAACCTCCGATGCTATCAATATATTATCAGTTATAAGCCTATCGGGTATAAACGCACTCTGGGACTCCGATATAATCTCATCCATCAAGGGTTTCATTCTATTAGTCGTAACCTTTGCCATTACCCTATATATCACATTGCTTAACGCAATTGGCCTGAGATCAGATACTCTTTCCGAGGTTTGTTTCTTCGGGATCAATACCACATCTGTTTCATTTAGAGTAGCTGGGAAGCTGCAATTATCCAAACAATTGACAATAAAAGATGAAACATCCCCTCCTACCTCATCCCAAAAATGTTGATAGAAACCTGGATTCATTCCATCCGGGCCTGGTGCCTTATCAGGATACATAGAAAAAAGAGCAGCTTTCACCTCATCCATAGTGAAAGGCCGAATTAAGGACTCATTCTGTGCTGGAGTGACACGCGGTGTAATGCTGTTAAAGAAATTTTCCCCATTCTCCGGGTTTCCTGAGGCAAAAATATGTTGGAAGTACTGCAAAATAATCCCCCTCATGGGCTCACCTTCCACCAAATCCCCATTATCATTCATAAGCTTATCAACATTATTTTTCTTTCCACGATGAGAGGCATACCTGTGAAAGAATTTGGTATTGGCATCGGCACCCTTGAGCCAGTGTTGCTTAGCTCGTTGTCTCCAGAAGGCATCCTCATGTGTCTCCGTTCGGCATAAACGTTCCTCCAAAGATCGGAATTCAGCTAACGAGGCAGGATCCATTTTTCCTATCAGGTGCAGCTGCTCTTTTCGCAAACTCATAATTTGTTCCCCGAACATATGAAACCTGTTACCCCCCCCCCCCCCCACCGAGATAGCCGAGACCCACAGAACTCTATGCAATTCTGCAGCCCACGGTCCTTTCCTTCTTCCCATGCTTTTTCCACAACACTCCGGCATCCCTCATCATACAACCATGCATTCTCAAAACGGAAGCCCCTCTTACTAGCCCCACCCCTCCCTACGGAGTCATGGATGCTTAGAAAGAGAGCCGAATGATCAGACTTGTGAGTTAATAGATTAGATACTCTCGCTCCTGCAACAATCTCGCGCCACTCATCCGAGACCAAAACTTTATCCAATCGTTCCTCTATCCAGTTAGTCGTTCCTTTTCCCCTTTCCCATGTAAACGGATACCCCTGCATAGCCATCTGGGATAGGCCACACTCCTCAATAGTTTCCCCAAAACCGCGTAGGAGACTATCAGGGTGTGGATTTCCTCCTCGTTTCTCGTGCTGAAAAAGAAGATCATTAAAATCCCCAACTACCACCCAAGGCAGGTTAGACTTGGTAGCCAAAGACCGTAACATTCCCCATGATTCCTCACGTCTGGGCCGCTGTTCCAACCCATAAAAACCAGTCATTCGCCATTTAGGGAATCCATGCATACTGACCTCAATATCCACATGATTATCCGAATAGCTGAGTAGACTAGCTGTATTATTTCTCCGCCACAACAAAGCTATACCACCCTTCACACCATCACTATCCACACAGAAAAGACCATCAAACCCTAATTTGACACGTAAACGTTCAGCATGTGTCCGATCGACCATAGTTTCCATCAAAAAAATAAAGTCGGGTTTCTTACGGGATGCAAAGTCCAGAACTTCATGAACTGTCCGTGGATTACCCAAGCCACGGCAGTTCCAGCTAAGGGTATTCATTGGGTCGGGCGGGTTTGGGAACAAGAACCCGCCTGCTGCAAGTTTTTTTACTGCTCTGCCATGACAACATCCTCCCCCACAAACTCCCGCCCACCATCGTCCCCCATCTCACGGCGCCGCTTAGATACCACCACCAGCTCCACCTCCCTGGCGTTACTGACCCGACTACCTTCCGCCGGCGCACAATTACCACCCGAAGCCACATCCGCCATCTGCCTCGCCACCATCTGCTGGCCGGTCGGCAATAACCAGCTCCCTCCGACCGGTCGAGGACCACGAGACCCCCCCGCCTTTAGTTCCGGGCCATACAAATATTCCTCTACCTGTAGTGCCGAATCCCTTGCCCCGCGACAGAATTTGTATGAATGTCCCAAAAGTCCACAAAAATAGCAATATGTGTGCAGGCGTTCATACTTGAAATTCACCCAACAGCTTGTCTTATCTCATTTAATAAAATTCATACGTCTCCTCAAGGGTTTGTCAACAGCCAACGAAACCCTAATTCGATGAAAAATATTTCACGGTGCATTATCGAAATGATCATCCACCTTGACAAACTTTCCCAATAAATTCCCGATCTGTTCTAATATCACAGCAGACGCATACCCCTTTGGCAACCCATGCAGTTGTATCCATAAATCCACCGAATCAAGCTCAACATCACATGGCGACATTCCATCCGGAACCTGCTTGCATACTAAAGTGCTATTATCAAAAGACCATGGGCCATCATTTAGAACACGCTGCATATCCGTCACATGGTGAAAGGTAAATAAGAATCGGCCAGGCTCCACCTCCGTAACTTCAACACCACTGACCGGTTGCGATACAGATGCCATAACCTGGCTCATAAATTCCAGTTTAACCAGTTTCCGTGTTAGGAACCGTCCAACCACAGCCCATTCCTCCTCCACGGTGTCGGAACCACCACTGTCGTCATCCACGTCCACCGTCGGCATAAAAGCCGCCTCCTCCTCCTCCAAAACTAGCTCAGCCCATCTCGCCGTCAAACCTGCTACATCGCCACCGTTTTGGTTCGCTGCCATTTTCGCACGATCTTGCGTCGAAAAAGTGAGTTGATTAACCGGAGAATTGCTCCATACGTAAAGGTCGAGAAATCGACGTGAAACCCTAGAGAGGACTAGATAGAGAGAGTTCAGATTATCTAGTGCAACGATATAATCATACTCTTATGCAATCTCATACACAATATACTCGTACTAGTATGCAATCTAGTGCAACAATATACTCATACACGTATGCAATCTAGTGTAACAATATACTCATACTCGTATGCAATCTAGTGCAACGATATACTCATGTTCATATGCAATCTAGTGCAATAATATACTCATGCTCATATGCAATCTAGTGCAATAATATACTCATACTCATATGCAATCTAGTGCAACAATATATTCATACTCATATGCAATCTAGTGCAACGATATAATCACTCTTATGCAATCTCGTGCAACAATATACTCATGTTCATATGAAATCTAGTGCAACGATATAATCATACTCTAATGCAATCTCTTGCAACAATATACTCATGTTCATATGCAATCTAGCGCAACGATATAATCATACTCTCATGCAATCTCGTGCAACAATATACTCATGTTAACATGGAATCTAGTGCAACGATATAATCATACTCTCATGCAATCTCGTGCAACAATATACTCATGTTCACATGCAATTTAGTGCGATAATATACTCATACTCATATGCAATCTAGTGCAATAATATACTCATACTCATATGCAATCTAGTGCAACAATATACTCATACACTCATTTATAAATTATAGTACTTTCTATGGATGTTTCTTTGTTACTTTCTCGAGTCTCTTTTGACTCTCTTTCTTTCTATCGAGTCTATATTGACTCTCATACTTGAGTCTCTTTTTGACTCTCTTTCTTGAGTCTCTGTTGACTCTCCTTCTTCTTCTTTTTTTTTTTTTTTTTTTTTTTTATACTCGTAGACGGCTTAGGGTTTCACAGAAGTGTGACATACCCCATCGGGAACGACATAATTCCGACCCAATATCTCCTACCATCTACGGAACCAATCTCGTGGCTCAAACTCTTTGGAATCAGGTATCGAACTATTAGTGTGCACACCCCCTAACCAGGATTCCAAGCCCGACGGGAAGTTTCTAACCTCGTAACGTGGGAATACGTCGTGTTACATATACTAGGATCGCAATGTCCATAAATATCTCCCGAGAGGAACATAGTCCAAACGGTATCCTCCAAAACCTCACCGATGTAGATAATACATGAATATACCTCTCATGCATCAATCTCATGCATGCAACATTTCTACTACTTCTCAATGCATCAAAGAATGATATACCACATGCTTATGGTTTTTGAAAGTATTCTTGGACTCACTTTGTCCCTTTATGCATTTTTGGAATATGACTCATGTGAAATGTCAAAATGCTCTATAACATGCTTCTAAATCATGTATAAACTAACATGAAGTATTCAAGATATATCATCGTGCTTGGTTTGCAAAATAGCGATCTCTATACATTTCACTCAACAAGTATGTTTCTATTCTCATTGATCAAATAATACAATTTAATCATGCTTTCTTAATAAATCATATTCTCAAAGGATCATGCTTCTTTACTTCAATAAAACATTATCTAATCACATAATCAACAATTTATCAAACACAGAGAATTTAGTAAAATATGCACTGTGTAACAATTCTTTACAAAATCCCTTCTTAACATACTTGTTTTTAATCCAAATTCAACGAAATCAAAGCCAAAACGTGCGTCAAGACGATCCCGAAGAGCCCAGCCACAAGGGCTCGTAACACACGGTCCGAATCGACACGTAGCTGAGCCACAGGGGCTCGGCAACTGCACAAAATTTCTCACAGATAATACTCAGGGACCTGGGGCGGGACTCTTCATGGTCTAGCCGGCTGTAACCGGCTGTAATACTCAGGGACCTGGGGCGGGACTCCTCTAGGGTTGTGCCCTAGTCCCGTGGCACCACGGCTCTAGCCGGCTGTAACACCCCTGATTTCCATACTAATTTAAACCTTAATCATGCAGATAATCTAACCATAAAAACATACACAGCGGAAGACTAAATATGAAATAGATGGAAAACATAGAGTGCTATGACACGTCCACCCAACGGTGAACGCATAGGCATAAACATCTGCAACATAAACTGTCTATCCAAAGGCAAAGTCAACAACAATAAGTCTAAAGTCTAATAAAGGCACACAGGCCAAAACCATCACAAGGTTCAAGAGATCTATACTATCTATCTCTAGACCGCGCTCTCATCAACTCAACACCTGAAAGAAACACATAAATATATGGGACGACGCCCGGTCAGCGAATGATGCTGGTAACCCGAAATATCATACATAGGTAGGAAATATATACAAAATCATTTGCGAAACGGGATATAGTATATATAGTTCAAATCCAAGAGTAGAAGTCAATCACAAGACTCTATGCACTCACAACAAAGATAAGGGAACACATCCCATGACAACAAAGAGGTACAACGACACACGAGAACGGCTCAAGGCGTATTCTACCATCACTTAGTAGAATAACACCCGACATGCACAACCCAAGACAATAAGGACACAACCATTGGCAACACATGCCTTTGTGACAACACACGTCACAAATAGAGAAATACACAACAATGGCAACACATGCCTTCGTGACATCACCCATCACGAATTGAGATGCCTTCCTTATGCCCGGTTCTAACCTTATGGCTACCCCGACCTTATATCTAGTTCCAACTTGTACCTCTAGGATCCCTGTACACCAAGTCCAACCTTATTCCCTCGAGGACCGTGGTCCCCTCTCTGACAATCTCCAACAATACCATCGGTTTCATAGTACACGAGGGTACCGATCACACACATGGCAACACATGTTACCCAAAGAAAAATCTTGAGCCCATCACTCGGATCACATCCTCCATAATCACGTCATGGCCACCACGAGGACCACTGCCGTACCTTGGTGAATAATGTCCCATACCATTAATCGTGCAATCCAGGTACAGCCACGCACACCACACCACAACAGGAATCAGTCAACGGATCACAACGAAGGTATGAAACCATACTCAATCAAGGAATTGATCACAATCCGACAACAACGATGATTAACACAAGTCATCATCCACAAATAGGAAAGGACAAACAACACACATGCTAGCATTTAAACACCGAACTAGCATGCTTATCAAACGGGTAAACCAAACATAATTCTAAAGAACCCACAAGACTCATCGTAGTTCAACGAATCACAATGTTGAACAATTATCACGATTCAAGACACCAAAACCTACATGGAATCCTACCATATAGTTCTAGACATACGAAACATCAAGAAGACACTCAAATAGTTCCACAAAAGAACATCGGGAAGTCAAAAGACCAAATACCGAGTCAAAAGAATCACGGGGAACAAATCCCAGCACAACCAACATATGTACCCCGCGGGTGGACCCTCACCTGTGGTACCGCCCGCAGGTACCACACCCACGCACCAGCGTTCCCCGCGGGTGGGGCGGCGGGTAGGCCACTGCCCGTCGTTCCGCCCGCAGGTACATCAACCTGTACCAAAACTTCCCTTCGGGGATTTTCAACACCAAGCTCAAATTCAAGTCCAAAACATGCCAAATCTCACCAAATACAATAAAATAACTTGAATCAAAGGAATAGCCAAGTAATGGCATACATGAACCCTAATAACAAGCTCTAGATATGCATTTTCACAAGACAATGCATCAACACTCACATTTCATAGCAAAATCACGTGTAGAATCCAATAAATCATCATATAGGTAAGCAAAATGTATTTTGTAGAGTATGGGTTACCT